TGTGTGTGTGTGTGTGTGTGTGTGTGCGTGTGCCAGAGAGAGAGAGAGAGAGAGAGAGAGAGAGGTGACAAGTGAACAGCCGATGCTGAAGGACAGAAGAATGCTGCCATAGGCACATAAACCAGTCTACGAAGAATGAGATTCCTTTTTTCATTGAAATGTGCAAGGCACCAACCATCATTTGCAGGGAAAGGCGCACAAACGACGGAGAAATCTTGCACCTGCACAACGCGGGCGCACACAGCTCGAAAGATGGGAAGAGACAGCGAGTAACAATGCTAGCGTGCTGACTTGCGGCTGTCCAATAAGACAATACCGCTGCACAAAAGTCAAAAGCTCAAAACCAATCAGTCATCCAAAAGGGACACACCTCTGCTAATTTAATCACAACTGGAATGCACATCACTACCTTTTGTATAAACATGAGCCTCCATGACGACTGCCTCAGGCTCTTTAGCAGAAAAAACCTGCCGGCATCCATGTGTTCTGCTCCCCCCCCCCCCCCCCCCCCCCCCCCCCCCCCCCCCCCCCCCCCCCGTCCCACCCACCCAACATCTCGAAATCGGTGTCAACCAGACCCCACCCCTTCCCCTCAATATCTGTCCCTAGCACCCAGTGCCACCACCCACACATGCAGAAAATTCCCGCTTCCACGATGCCCGGCAAAGCACCCTCGCAACCTTTGCCATTCTTCCGCATCCCAGACGAAGAGGCCCATTCAATCGGAGGCTCTCTCCGATAGGCGAACGAAACAACGGAAAACGTCAAACAAAGTTAGCAAACCAACCCCGACGAGCTGAAGTGAGAGGGGTACAGCTCAGCTCATCATCTGATTTCACCGCCGCACCAGGACCGACACGAGGGGCCCATTACCAAAGGCTGATGAAGAAGCAATACCTCCTGAACAGCCCAGCCTGTTGTTGCCTCTCCACTCCCAGAAATAAAACACCTCACAAGTCACAACCCTTGCCACGCTCCGTGGACCAGATAAGCGTACGAAACAATGGAAAACAGCAAACAGACCGTGTGAAGCGAGAAGAGAGAACATCTTGTCCAATGCAACTGCCGTGACACGAGAGACACGATGGGGCCATTGCTGAAGTCAGATGAAGAAGAAAAAGCCTCGACAACTTCCCAACCTGTTGCCTCTCCGCCCCCAAAAGTACGACGACCTCATTGTTGACTCCACGCCTTCAGTACATCTGCAGAATGTGCGCCGCCCACCGTCGGTGGGGGCACTGCGGGCAGAACCCAGCGAATGCCCGCCCTGCCACTCACGGCTTCACAATTTGTCAGTCAGCATCTGTGTCCCTTCCCTCAAAATTCTTCCCTTTATCCACATACAATGACACAATCAGTCACACACCGCAGGTCACGTCTATTCCCCACTACCCCCCGCCACCCCCCTCCATACCTCCCCGTCCTCACCCCTGGAATCATCCCTGTCTCTTATACACATCTAGATGTGTATAAGAGACA